CATAAGTCAAAGGCTCCAATTTAAGGAGGTCAGCTCTTGGAAAACACAATTAAATCTTGTTTAGTTGCTCCTCCTGCTGTTCTGTTGCTAGGCAAGAAAGCAAGTTTATTCTCATGATCTGTTTCAAATACAGTTTGATGTTTGTTCAAAGAAGATAAATACGTTTACTCTGAAAGAAAATTATTAGTTTTCGTAGTTTATATCTGTTTAAAAGCTTTATACTGTACATTCCGTTAGGATTTCAAAGGTTTTCACTTAGTAGGTAGTTTGATTGTTTTATTTTAGTAAAGACTCCACATAAAGAATTACTGCAATGCCATTTGTTTGACAGTTAACCTCAACAATTTCTGAGCAAATACATGATGTCTTTGATCTCTGTTAGCATTTGTATGTCAGAGTGGTCATATTATCTACTTTTGCACTTTTTACATTTTAAATGAGGAATATTGTAACGTGTTCATTCCCGGAAGAAACTCAAGACTACAATGGAGGCGTTTCAGGAGTTCAGAAACACTGACACTTGTCATAATCTTAAAGTATAATATCAAACAGCAACATTACACACTAAAAAAAGTAATAAAAAAAAAAAAATCATTGGTTCTCTTTAAAGAAGCATCCAGGTTCATGGGGTTTGGACAGACGAGCTCCGGTCTACTCTCGCCCGTTCTGTCCGTCAACTCATCCATGTCTGGTTCACTGAAAGCAACAGTGCCACTCATTCATCAGCTTTAGCAGAAACTCAATCTCCTCTGAGAATGAGCTGAAAGGAGCCAGTGTGATTGTGGAGGAGTGTGTGTCTGAGTGAGAAGCTTCTCGAGTGTTTCAGCCTGACAGACAGTGGTGCCAGATGTCTCTCGCCCGCCTCTTTCTCTCTCTCTGCATGTGACCGCAGTTTCAGATTCTGTTGTCACTGTGTTTGGATGTACACCGGCCAACAAGCCAACTGTATGCGAGCTTCCCCAATCTGAACATGTTGAATCGGTCTAAACCAGCGCTACAGGAACTACAGTGACGTTAGTGTTCTCTGATTGGCCGAACGCATGCGAAACACCAGCACCCGCCATTATTAAATAGCAGTGTAAACACACAGATTATAGCCTATATATTTACTCAACAAACTAACTCTACGAACATAAAACAGTGATTGGTGGAGCTCTTGACCTTTACACTGAGGAGAAAAACCAACACAGCTTTGAGGAGACATTTTGAGGAGAAACATGATCACACGGCAAACGCTAATAATAATACTTTTCAATACTGTCTACTCTCTTTGATTAACAATTCTATCTAATGGTGTATTCGACAAGACATAATAAATACGTAGGCCGCTGGAGCGTATGTTAATGGCGCCGCTATTTTGCGGAGGGAAACTTTCTCATACTTCTCATAACGAGAATTGAAAAAAATGCCTGTTTCGTGTGCTGCTTGGGGCTGTACAAATCGCCACACAATTGAAAACTGGTCTCGAGGAATTATTTTTCACAAGCAAGAATGAACATTTGTTTCTGGTTGTATTTGGTCATGATATAAGTAGTAATAGTAACGTTCAGAAAGACGGTGAAATTTAAAATACTACTGATATTGTGTTCAGTCGACAATGTATTTGTTTAGACTTCAAATCTGTGGTTTATTTATAAAGATGGCGCCGATTTAAAAATTTGATCTGACGTTTTCGAAGTTGTGAGATCCAGACTTTTCGTAGTGTCTATATTATTCTGCAATTGATATTACATTTTACAGCTATGCTGTTAAATGATTGTATTATTCAGTCACTATTTAACTTATTATTTTTTAATGTCTATACACTGTAATTGATATTTATTATTCCATTACTTTTATTATAGTATTATACATAAACTATATTATATTATGTACTTGTGATTTTATATAATTATACTATTTGACATAGTGTAATTATATGCATAAAACATTTGTGATAATCTGTTACCCAAATATTTTCATGTTATTACTGTGAAGCTGCTTTAATACAATCTGTATTGTAAAAAAGTGCTATATAAATAAAGGTGGTGATGGCGCAGTGGATAAGACACATGCCTTTGGTGTGAGAGACCCGGGTTCGAATCCACTGTGAGACACCAATGTGTCCCTCAGCAAGACTCTTAACCCCTAGTTGCTCCAGAGGCGTGCGACCTCTGACATATATAGCAATTTTAAGTCGCTTTGGATAAAAGCGGCAGCTAAATGAATAGATGTAAATGTGACTACTATTAATTACTATTTTTTTCGCATGTAGAACTATTTACTATTACTTCTCACTTTATCTTATATTTACTATGTTTGGATTGCACTGTAGTTGTGCCATATCATATGTATTACCATAAAGGATCCATCAGCTATCTTCGTTATTGCTACAATCAGAAGAAAATGCTTTTTACACAATCTAACTATCAAGATTTTAAATAACTTTGAGATTTAACTTTTTTTACACGACATACAAACCACTGAAATTGGTTGATAAATGTAATTTTTTTAATTAATTTTTTTATCCAGAAAAACGCAGCTCACCGTTTACTTGCATTTGATTACAGCGCAGTCTTGCCCTCCGCAAAATGGTGGACGGGTTGAGGTATCGCAGCAACGTTCCAAAGCGGCCAATAGGGGCGTCTATGTATAATGGCTAAGGTTAGACAGATCGTAAACTAATGAACAGGAGAATACGAGCACTGTCAGCTCAGTCGTTCTCAGCGCCGAGCGAGTCTTACGTCACTCAGAGTTCCTGAAGAGCGAACACAACCAGGAAACGCTCCTAGAGGAACCATCAGTTCTCGGGGAACCACACTGGAGGATAGTTCCTAGTTGCGGTTAGTTGCGAAAGCCCCTTGTCTTTCGAGGAAAATCTGTTTGCAATCCAAGAGCAGCTCATCTCTACTTGAATGGGGAAATACTGAAATGTTCAAAATATGTAATAAGTTTTCTGGAAAAAATTCCATATTATTCCCTCTGGTCCGCTAATGTGTTATTTCTCCAGCACTTCATGGCCTATGCGCACTAGCCCAAGTATGTTCAGTCAATAACTGTATATTGTGTTCGATAAACATAAAACATTTGTGATAATCTGGTGCCCAAATATTTAATTTAATGTAATGTAGAATTGCTTCGCTTGTTGAGAGAAATCCATGATGCAAGAAAAGCATGTTCATATCTTAAAACAACATCTAAAACACATGAGCCGAAGCTCTTTTCAATAAAATCCATGCAAAAGTTAAAGGTCCCGTTCTTCGTGATCCCATGTTTCAAACTTTAATTAGTGTATAATGTTGTTGTTAGAGTATAAATAATATCTGTAAAATTATAAAGCTCAAAGTTCAATGCCAAGCGACATATTTTATTTAACAGAAGTAGCCTACATCGAACGGCCCGTTTGGACTACATCGCTCTACTTCCTTCTTTAATGACGTCAGCAGAACAGTTTTTCGACTAACGTCCTGCCCACAGGAATGCTCCCTCAACTCGCACACTTCTTATAACTTACTGTGTTTACGCACAGCTCTTACAGTGATTTTCTGAAGTAAAACTGACGCTTCATCTTTTGTGTGATGTACAATAAACTTTATTAAACTCATCAGTGTTTGATCTTCATTCGGACCTGGTCCGAAACAGCACACTTGTAGGCTATTAATAAATAATGGATACATACAAGCAGATTACAAATATGTTATAATAACCGTAATTAAACTACTAAACTATACCTGTTCCATCACTATACAGCACTCTGACTCTGTAGGCATTATTGTCCGACTGGAAATGAACACCGTTACTGAGAGTTTCTGATATTATCATCATTCCGTGAGAGATGAAATTGTCCTGAGAGACTCATGAAGCTCCGTCCCCCTGTGCCAGCAGCAGCAGCTTATTTGCATTTAAAGGGCACACACTAAAACAGCGCGTTTTTCTGAGCCCCAAAAAATGACAATTTAAACATGCTGTAAAAAATGATCTATTGGGTATTTTGAGCTGAAACTTCACAAACACATTCTGGGGACATCAGAGACTTATTTTACATCTTGTGAAAAGGGGCATAATACGGGATCTTTGATATCAGATCATTTTATTAGACAGCATAGTATGTACCGAATATCCTTCAGTTTTATGCAAAACATAAATACGACGAATAGAATATCAGATCTCTGGGTAACACTTTACAATAGGGGTCGTTAGTTAACATTAATGTATTAACTAACATGAACTAACCCTGAGAACATTTGTTTCTGTATTTGTTCATCTTTGTTAACGTTAAATGTTCATTGTTTGTTCATGTTAGTTCACAGTGCACTAACTAATGTTAACAAGATTTTAATAAAGTACTTGTTGAAATTAAAGGGTTAGTTCACCCAAAACTAAAAATTCTGTCAGTATTTACTCACCCTCATGTTGTTCCAAACCTCTATGTGTTTATTTGTTCTGCTGAACACAAAGGAAGATATTTGGAAGAATGTTTTAATCAAACAGATCTCATTCCCCATTGACTACCATAGTATGTATTTTTTCCTACTATGGTAGTCAATGGGGATTGAGATCTGTTTGATTACAACATTCTTCCAAATATCTTCCTTTGTGTTCAGCAGAACAAATAAACTCATAGAGGTTTGGAACAACTTGAGGGCGAGGAAATACTGACAGAATTTTCATTTTTGGGTGAACTAACCCTTTAACATTTACAAAGATTGATGAATTCTGTATAAGAGCAGTTTATTATTAGTTTGTGCTAAGTAATGTAGTTAACTAATGAACCTTATTGTAAAGTGTTTCAGATCTCTGTCATATGGCCAAAAATAAATGCAAAAAAAGCTTTTTTGCATAGTTGTAACTGTAACAATGTAAACGATGTCATCTCTCTCGAAATGTGTCCCTCATTAAAGGCCTTGAATTTGAGGGTATTGGACCTGGAAAGTCCTTAAAACTTGTCCAAATTTGTCTTGAAGTTAACCAAGGTGTGGAAACCCTGGTTACTGATTTACCATCTGTTTGTTTTTTGACAGGTTCTTGAGAATTATGAGCGAGAAGGTTTCCAGTTCCTAGCAAAGGTCTTCAACTCTTCCCACTCGTTCCTGGAGGATCTGACCGGCTTGACGTTACTCCATCAGGAGACACAGGCAGCCGAGGTTAGACCTGATTGTGTGTGTGTATATGTGTGTGTGTGTGTGTGTGTGTTCTGGAGGATCTGCTCGGCTTGACGTTACTCCATCAGGAGACACAGGCAGCCGAGGTTAGACCTGATCGTGTGTGTGTCTTGTGTTTTCATTATTAGCTGATCAGATCCATTTGCACCTGTAAACTTGGAAATATGGTTTTAGAGGAATAATATTATCAGAAATGATTATACACAAACTTTTAATCCCATTAGGAGTATTAAATATCCCTCATCATTTGTTTAGATATACATGTAAAGCTTATTTTCTTGAAATTATTTGAGGTATTCTGTTCTTGTGCTTGTCAACCTATGTGTGATTTGCTGCCGTATTTAGTGTATCTCATCCATAATATAATCTATCAAATATATTGACAGCATGAAGTAAGTGGTGAAAACCATTCAACAAGAACATTCATAACACCAAACAGAAACATCTGCTTTTATATTTGTCATATGTTGACTGATGCTCGTAGTTCTGGGTCAGACTGAATGAGTGGATTATGATGTGTTCACATTGTAGAAATATGATCACGCTGATCATTTTAAAAAGGAAAGATGAAGCGTTTAGTTTCTGGCGGCCACAAAGGCTGTTGACCCCGACATACGGTGAATACGCAACACACTCCAGAGCTCATCTCACACAACTCACTTTCACTCTTACTCACTTTTCTGATCACTTATATTCAATATCTGTCTAAGCTCATCGATATATTGTTATATTAGGCAGCAGTATCCGTGCAAATTCATTGTTTATTTGCATTTATATTTGTGCATATTATCCAATGCGACTTGAGATCTGTTTACGTCGAGGATTGTAACGGTTACAATGTAGTTCTAAAAACTGAACAGAGGAGGAATGCATTGAAGAAAAAGCAGAGGTGTGTGTGTGTGTGTCTGGACTAAATTTTGTATGAAACTTTAACAATTGCAGCACAGACGTCATTTAGAAAACCCAAATGCTACATGTCTTACTCTTCCCGTTTAGAAAAATACCCATAATGCAGTCTGTTCTTGCTATTCCTGGCTCCTGTCCCAAAACTTCACTTCTACTTGCTCTGGAGAACGTGTGTTTTAAAAATATCTCAGTGTACGGCAGATCCAGGGACGGCTTCTCTTAGTTTACGCTGATCTCAGTCGTGTAACTCCAGCAAGCCAGACTGACCCAGGAACAGTGTTTGGATTCTGGGAACGGTCCCTCGTCGGGACTCTCCAGTCACAAACATGGAGCCTGAAACTGTGGGAAAGTCCCACATCAGCAGTTCAGCGCGGTTTAGAGGCGCAGACCCAAATGAGAGGATACGTGCTCCTGCTTTTGCCCACGCTTATTGTCTGAGACCTTCAGATTCATTTCAGTCCAGAACTTTATATTCCCATGTTGATGTGTAGTATTTTTAACGTGTGTGTGTTTGAGTTGCCTCGGAATTGATGGCAAGGATTGAAATGAATGGAAATGTACCACTTCTAGTTTGGAAGCGGTGGTTTTGTGTGTTTTTTGTGTGGGGAAAATCACATCTCTCATTACTTCGTGACTGTTTGGTGTCAGTTTGTGAAAACTAGGGTGTATAATCTTAAGTCCATGAATATGGTACTATTGTGTCCTATTAGTTGTTGTTTTTTAAGCATTAGAGGCAGAAATCATGTTTTTTCTGGTTTGATACATTTCATCTATCAAGTTAATCTAGCATAAAAACCTAAAATATCTGTATAACAGCAACATCCCCAGTGATAATGTGGGATTTAGACCGAATGTATATATTAAAACTCTCAAAATCATACAGTAGATGCACATCATAACTTTGACAATCTAATGAATATATTTTTATTTTTGCAATCACCCACAATTAACATAATTTGGTCATTTCTACAGCATATTTGTTTTATGTTCATGTTTAATAATTCTTATACTTATTTAATATTTATAACTAGAAAACACACAAAACAATCCGTATTTAGACTAGTTTGATTTAGCTAACAGGATTGCGAAATAAATAAAACTGTTCTGAAGTTCCTCCTTCACTGACCATTTGATGAAAAAAAAAAAAAAATAATACATCTCAGGGCCATGGTTTGAACTCTCTTCATGGAAATTAGCAGTTTATTTTTGGATTTAACATGCTGTTTTTTGTTATAAGAGCACGATACAAGTGTGTCAGTGAAATTGCATAATAATGTGCTCTTGTTCCTGTTGCTGTTGTGAAACTCCATGGATATAAACAACTTCATCCAATCAAACATCAAACAATCAGCCTTGAGGAAATCTGCGCTCAGAAAATGAAGTTAACTAGGAAAAGCTTTAATTAGGCTGAAGGAATGCCTTTTTAAGCATGTTTAGGTCCGATAATCAAGAGTTCACAACATTCACAATCCATTTTGCTTCCTCAAAAGACTTCAATCTGTAAAAGATGTTCACTAAAAAAAAACAGGGGCCGACATTTGTGAAAAGAGGGCGTTTCTTAACAGAACGGGCCAGAAGAATTGAAATTAAATGTTTATATACAAGGGCTTTATGTCAGCAGTGCACACTGTCCATATTGTGAGCTAATGGTGAATTAATATGTTGTCTTTCCGGTTGAATTGTCTCTCATAAGAATGATTAATATACTCTCCCGCAGAAGATGTTCATGTCAAGGCAACACTCATGCGTTGTGTCAAAACACCCGCAGAACAGAGGGGCGGAGTGAGCGACGCTCATTATCATTTAAAGGCATATGCACTGAAACGGCGTGTTTAAAAACAGAGCTGTTTTTGACCAGGTAAAATGAGTGTTTTCTTACAATACCAATGAGAATTTTTTATTAAAGTATATTACAAACTTTTCATTTAGACCCTAAAGAATCAAATTAACTTGTATGAAAATGGCATTATATGACCCCTTTAAAGGATGAAATGATTAACTACAGGGGGACTTTAACAAGCGCTTTTAGTCGACTAAAACTTGACTGAATGAAAACAGGGCAAGGTTGACTAAATATCATAAAAACTTAAAAAGTACATTTGACACAGGGCTAAGACTAATTATGTTGTGGGACTATCGTTAGCAAACTATAGTGATTTTAGCGATTTTTTTTTTTTTTTTTACAAACCTTTCTGTGAAGAAACTGACGGTAAATATGAACACAGTATTGAATGTAACATAAGGCAAATCATTATTTGTCGTTAAAATACTTATTAAAGCCACAAATACTTACATTTATGGGTCTCCTTTTTCGCTTGGGCAGCCATTTTGCGTCTCTAGCCGGTGTGTGCAGTGACACTTATCATACCCCTTCGTTTGAAGTGTGGTCCCGAAAAATCTTCGTTTGAAGGGCTATCTGGCCCTTCCCCCTCCAACCAAAAGAGAATTGGGACAGCCCTACCCCTTCATGTGCACGCGCTAAACGGTGGGGAAGGGGAAAGTGATGGGGTAAGGGGTAGAATTGGGATTGGCCCTAAGACTAAATGTAAAAATAGCAGACAAGATGAACTCTAGTGTGATCGTCCTACACTCCTGTATGTTTCCCTCTATCTGTCATAATAGGACACACACACACACACACGCTCTTATGCTGAAGGTGTAGGTTGGGAAGCAGTTTTGGGGGTCATATTTACTGTCTTCCACTAACGCACTGAAGGTTTGTGTACAAAACCAGCGTCCCTTTCTAGTTTCCTCACGTACAATTTTACGAACTTTGCTTCAACTGCAAACCTTCTATGCTGTTTGTAAATACTGTTGTTTTTTGTTTCTGTTATTGTTTCTATTCGATTGGATATGCAACTGCAATCGTTAATTTCTCAGACTGGGCTAATGTCCATTTATTGTTAGATTTTGTTTCATTTGGCGGAGCAGTGGTTTGGTGGCTCGCCAATGTATTAGATTTCTCCAATACATAAAATAAGTAAGCTTGACCAGTTCTTGTGGTGTGGGGAGAAGAATCTATTGAAGGTTTGTAGTGTAGCAGTCCTTCAGCAGCGATGTTAGCATGTCGCCCTTTATACATGAAGACAAAACCTATTGGCTACAAACAATAGAATCCTGTTAGGACCTCCCACAGGAGATCCATCTAACTTGCTAATCCACTCTGAGCAATTCTGATTCTTTGTCATTCACACCAATCAGTTTCTGTGGGCCATACATCTGAATGGGCCATTTGGCACACACCTTTGCAGACACAGACAGAGTGGATTACATCTGATACACAGTCACAATGTAAATGAATCTGATGACTGAAAATACAAAATCTATCAGTATGAATTGATTTTTTTGGTTGTGAAGCGTCCTTGAGCTCGGTAAAGGCGGTATATAAATTAAACATATTGTTATTATCATTATTCTTGAACTGCAACATGGGAAAAAAATGTGTAAAGATCAGAGCTCAAGCGATATGTGTAAAGAGCACAATTAAGAGAGAGGTTTTGTCTCCTTAAAGAAAGAAGTGATTCTGAACTGAAACGAGTCGTCAGTAATTCACTCTCAGGTTTGTAACTAATAACTAACATAATGACCGCCTCTGGTCCTGATTGGCTGAGCAGCGTCTCTTAGCTCCACCCTCAAACACGAGTTTGGTTCATGTTGTTTGTGTCGCGAAGACGCTGTTTTCTGCTGACAAAGCAAATCTACTTTGATGAGATTGATTAAAAACCCACGCCTTCATTACTGTTCGTATCACTGTGTGTCAAGAGCTGAGATTCAGATATGATAATGAGCGTTTGCTTTCTGACCAATCAGAGCAGTGTATCTCTCAGAGAGGCGGGGCTTAGAGAGACTGAATCCTCAATGGAAGCGTTTCAGACACTGAGAGAAAGAGCTGAAGCTGCAGTGGAGATTATGAGGACATAACAGTGTTTTTGACCTTGGATGAATGTAAACCTCTTGGAGGAGCCCCCAAAACATCGTTAGGAACATTAAAACAGCATTATAGGGGGACTTTAGTGCACATTCATGGTCTTTGTTCACCATTCATCATTGTGTTTTTGCAAAGAGTATCCGGAATCTTTCATCAAAATGTTATAACTTGCTTCATCTCTGAAATGACTTTCTTTTTCCGTTGAGCAAACTGTTGCATTGAATAGCTTATTTAG